CGCATGATCAACTACGTCGCGCGAAACGATCTCGGTTGGTGGAGTCTCCCCGTCTACGACGCCCCCCGCGCAAAGTTCTGGGCGAAGCTACAGGAAGCTGTTGTTCATGCGGTGGGCGGATTGGGTGTGCCGCCGGGGAAAATCGTGTTGCTGGGGGGTCATGGTCAAGATAAGGAGTTTAGGGTGCAGGTGGAGCAGGCGCTTTGGAGCGAGTTGGAGGTTGATGTTGGAGCGTTGCTTGGGGGACGGGGTGGGAAGAAGGAGAGTGAGTGGTTGGCTGCGAGGGGGGCGGCGGGGCTGGGATGGCGGAGTCAGAATCGGAGGTGAAATGTTTTTTATGTTGTTGGGCGTTGGGGGCAAAAGTACGTTTTTGAGTAACAAGATACCCATAATTTATATCATCATGAACAGAGTCACATTCATTCAATCCGCCTGAATGCAAGTCATTTCATTTTTTATACGACTCTGACGACATCCTTATACCTTCCTCGGGCGCAGCCCTTGCTTCAGTCTTTCAAAGGTTCAGTCTTTAAAAGGTTAAACATACGGGCCCGCCCATGTGCCATTAGACTGGAGATCTTTCACTCAATCACCTCTCCTCCTACTTCAGTATCGAAGCATGCGATATACGCATCTCCGAGCTGGTCACGAGCCTGTTTTGATCTCAGCTTACCCACAACTCGGTGGCCGAGATGTTACTCTGCTGTATGCGCAGTTTCGCAATGCTTGTCCCGTTTGGCGGTGCCAGAGAGAGCAAGCGCGTCGTCTCCGGTAGCATGGCATAGGCAGTTCTTTGCCAACCGTCAACGTCGTATTTCGTTGTTATTGCCTGTCTCGGCTTGAGGGTTTGCCTAACGGTAACAGCAGTAGTGACTTTGCAAATCTTTCCCCTTCAGACGTTTCCTCTACTTGGTAGTTTCAGCGTACCAGCAGTACGGTTACTATTAGCGTCATAGCGTACAGACACTGCGTCAGGGCTCTTTCGTTCGCGTACAGGCACTTGGTCAGGAAGCCGATATGCTTCATCCCAGCAATCCTTTCTTCTTCGTACTCAGCGATGAGTTCGGAAGCATGGTCCAGCCAGGCTTTTTGTTCGTTACACTTGGCTTTCCACGCCGCAATTTCGCCATTGTAATATTCGGTGAGCTCGTCGAGGACGCCGACGAGAGGCCCTGGAGATGGTGGCGGTGGTGGTTTCGGATCGTATGTGCCCAGCTTTCTTGATGGTTCGTCGTAGGCGCTTACCAAGGGGTGGGGAGATGGTAGTGGCTTGGGAGTAGACACGCACACCGTGTTGCCAAACTTTCTTGGTGAATCCACGAAGGTGCTTACGAAAGGTTGGGGAGATGGTAGAGATTTGGGGGTATACACGCACAGCGTGTTACGTAGTCTTCTTGATGACATGGTCATGGTAGTGGTGGATGACATAGTAGTGTAGTGTGAATCGCGTAGTAGATTGCTGTGAATGTAATGATTTGCTTGAAGAGTTAGTGAGAATGTTTGCTTGAAAATACTTATGTGGTGCCATGTCCGATGTCCAGGTAAGGTCACGATGTTGGTGCAGGTCGATGACTATGAATCGTTGGCATTGTGAAATAACGGTATAGATTTTGCGTGCACAACTTAGAGCACATGCCACTTCGGAAGGTTCGGCGCAATTTCGCGCAAACGTGGATGTTCAGTGTATAGGTTTGGTGGGTGAGGCGGCTGACGGAGGGCTGTTCACATGTCGAGGCACGCGTCGGTTTTAGCGCGGCGGTTGCGTCAGTGCTCCGAATGCTGATCGGAAATATACCGCCCTAGAACAACAAGGAACAACATCCATCCTCAGGCTGCCACCTCGTTCACGCCAGCTGTCTTCTTCACACGAACACGTGAGGGAAAGAACATACGCTAGCACCATGATATGATGCGATTCTTCCACGACTGCTTCTCTTGAAAGTTGCAGCTCTCGCCCACACCAAACCACGCCAGACGTCATGGCAGGCAACGAGCCCACACTATCGTCTCGCGCGAACCAATACGTTCGTGAGGTCCTGCACAACACCGAAGCCCCGCCCACAATCCCCGTCCGCTACTTCTACACGTCGCCGCTCGCTATAGACGACCCGCTGTCTCCGCTCCCGCCGCCGCCCACGGGCACCTCGACTGCGAAGAGAGTGCCACCGCGGCCCTTCTCCGAATACGACAATGAAGCCATCCAGGAGTCGTGGCTGGAGCTGCGGAAGAAGATCCTAAAGCATACCGAGGAGTTTGGAGAGAAAGATGCGACGGGACGCGGTACGCCGACCAACCCGGCGGTGGAGCGGCTGAAGAGGAAGAGAGGCGCTAGTGCTTCGAGCGAGGAAGGCTCGATCCAGGGACGAGACATACCGTCTGGGCGGTCATCGAGCAGAGGGCAGTACTCGAGGTCTGCCGAGCTGGTGGACAAGAAGACACCCGGCTCCGGTGGTGGCAGCTACGGCCAGTCCATGTCTGGTTCGCTGAAGGCCTACGACCCCGGCCCAATATCGCCCCTCGAGCCTGCGACGACCGGCACCCCGTTCATCCGAGCTCCATCGAGAGGGAATCTCGCCAAGTCGTGGAAGCCTGCGCCTATGGAGGGAGGCCATCGGCCGACTATACATGAAGTGGACAGCTACAAGTGGGATGACGACATGGAACCTGCTCTGTCGACGGCCAAAGACAAGGCGCCCGCGCGAAGGTCCTCGAAGCCGAAACCGGGGCCATCCGCGAAGGTGCCCGTGGGAGTCTCAAGACTGCATCACGTAGTCATGGACACAGAGTCAATACGGATGGAGCCTATATACTGGTCGCCGCTCAGCGACGTCGCCCAGATAGTACGAGGAACGTGGTTCTACAAAGACAGCATGATGCCCGTCGAGGTGGAAGTCGCCAACATGCTCGAAGCTGGATACATCGAACTCAGACCCTGGACGCAGACGTGGACAGACGAGCTCAACAGCGCTGTTGAAGTCGGTGCATTTGGCGAGATGAAGATACTACACCACCTCTGGCCCGAAAGGCCGAAGAGAGCAGAGAGCAGGCCGTCGACTTCGCAGCAGATGATGCAAACAGCAGGTCTCGTTCAGAGTACCCTCCCTGAAGAGGACGATGACCCGGAGAAGGAGCGCAAAGAAACCGTAGAGAATGCCTGCGACTTGATCGATATCTCCACAGGTCCAGAGGGGCCAGACCACAAAGCAGCGGGAGATCTGGAATACGGTGCCGACGGAAGGAAGCGCCTGTACCTGAAAGCGGGTGTGATATACTCTAACGACAAGGAAGCTTTCATCCTCAAGCCAGCACTCCAACCATCAGACTACTACGGGCGGCGACCATTGGCGAACTACATCCGCAAGGGCAGAGCGATCGGCGTCCACGTAGTACGCGGTTTCGACCAGGCTGTCTGGGATAAGCTACATCCGAACAAGAATTCGCCAAAGGCACAAGCAGCACGCGAAGGTGTCTCGTCATCGCAAGGTGGCGCGCCACAGTATCGAAGGCAGAAGTCGGACCCCGACCTCGCGCAGTCTGAACGACCGAAGGTGTCAGATCTGGTGTTGGTTATTCATGGTATTGGGCAAAAGTTGTCAGAACGAATGGAGACGTTTCATTTCACGCACGCAATGAACGCCTTTCGAAGAGAGATGAACGTCGAGCTTGGGACTCCGGATGTCAAGCGGTACCTGCGAAAGGATATGGGAGGTGTCATGTGTCTGCCAGTAAGTCATCATCGCAGTGATTCTCGATCAATATACTAATACAAGGCAGGTCAATTGGCGACACCGCGTATCCCTCGACGTCGATAACACCGAGGCTCCCGAGCTTGAAGACCCATCTGCGAACAAATACACACTCAAAGACATCACACCCGATACGCTACCGTCCGTACGTGGTATCGTTAGCGATGTCATGCTCGACATCCCATACTACCTCTCGCCGATGCACAATCCCAAGATGATATCAGCTTGCATAACAGAGGCGAACCGCATCTACCGTCTCTGGTGCCAGAACAACCCCGGGTTCGCAGAGTACGGCCGAGTACATCTGATCGCCCATTCGCTCGGCTCGGTGATGGCTATCGACATCCTCAGCCAACAACCAACCTATGTCGATCCGCAATTCACCGACCCATCCTTCCCTGAAGCGGACCTACCCCAAGACCAATTCATCTTCAACACAACCGACCTCTTCGTCTGCGGCAGCCCCGTCGGCCTCTTCCTCCTCATGAAAAACGCAAACCTACTCCCGCGCCGCGACAAAGAGAAGCCCGGCGCCGACTCCTACGCCGCCCCCGGTATCGCCGGCGAGCAAGGTACATATGGCTGCCTAGCCGTCGACAACATCTACAACATCATCAACCCCTACGACCCCGTCGCCTGCCGCATAAACCCCACCGTCGACGTCGTCTACGCCTCAATGCTCAAACAAACCACCATCCCCTCCGCCTCAACCTCCTACTTCGCCTCGCTTAACCCCTTCCGCTCGTCCACCTCCTCCGCCAACAACGCCGCAAACGACAGGCCCACCACTATCCGTCTACCCAGCAATGTCGAGCTCGAAACGCATAATTTCACGCGCGAGGAGATTGCGGAGAAGAGAGCGTATTTGCTCAACGATAATGGTCAGATCGACTACTACATGAAGTACGGTGGTGGGCCGCTGGAGATACAGTATTTGACTATGCTGGGTGCACATAGCAGTTATTGGCTTAGTAAAGATTTTGTTAGGATGATTGTTGTTGAGGTGGGGAGGGGGTTGGGGAAGGAGGGCACGGTTAGGGAGATGAGGGCGCAGAAGAAGAAGATTGCTGTTGGGGGTGCGACGTAGGCATGTGATGATTGGGAGCTGACGGCATTACAGGATCGGAGTTTGTGTTTGTTGGCAGCTTTTAGAAGTTATACCCCGTTTTATACGCAATTTGGTAGGAGTTTGAAGTAGTACTCGTTTAATGAAGATTAAAGCTATCTAGCATCCCACAGTCCCTCAACGTCTTCTCACACAAAACCCGCTTCTAAACACAACTCGCGCGACGCAAATTTATGGTGTTGCTCCTGCGCCTCGTTTTCCCAATCAATCTCCACCTCTTTCTCTGCATGCATACTCGCGAAAGCACTGCGACGGGATTTAAGCCAGCTTGTATGCGTTGTATCCAGTACCATGGCCACTCGATCGGCTATGAGCTTATCCTTTGCATCTTCGTCGGAGGGGCCCTTTAAAGTGGGTCCTAGTGCGAAGATAGACTCAGGGTCATCGATGAAGCCAACGTGCTTCAGAATCGCGTGCATGGTAGATCGCCGGAGCGATTCACCGGGTGCGCACCATGAGTTCTGTCCTAGGGCTTCTATATCTCCCTCCCAGCCGGGCGCCTGAAGCCTATGTCGCACCGCGATGTTCAAAACGGCGCGGTACCACAGGTACATCTTCTTCGGCCGGTTGTCGTTTGCAAACTCCAGGATCCTTCCGTCAAGCTGTGTGTAGGCGACAGGCCATTTTTTGTCGCGAGTCCTATTCCTCAACTCTGGGTCCAGCACTCGTACTTTGTACGGCTCCTTGTCAGTTTCTTGTACTGTTTTGCCGGTGTCGGGGTCGGTATCACCCACACGGGCTGGAACGATGATGATCTGAGCTCTGTTGAGCATACGCTTGAACTCCCAGTAAAGCGGGAGGCCGTTGGATGGGTCCATCAAGTGGCCACGTGTACTGTCTGGTCTGCCGAAGAGATAGTCGCAAGCGTGGTCGCCTGTGTTGTAATGCACTAGACGGATAGCCCGATGTGCACTTGAGCGTTGCCGCGCGATAGGGCACCAGTTGCTGCCATAGTATTCCTTGACATATTCGTCAGATCGCTCCGGCGCGTCGAGATCGCGGCCGTCGGGACCTTTGTACCATGCTTTATGGACTTGTGGTGACTGGTAGGGCTTAGTCAAGCGCTGGATCATGGAGTTGATATACGCCAAATCAGTGGCATCGGTATGCTGGTGAGCATTGACATATTCTCCTTTCATCTGATTCTTGAAGTCTCGCAGTATGACCAGTAGCTTTCTGAGGTTGGCGGTAGTTGTCTCAGCCTCCACAACCAGAGGCAGTGTGTCGGAATTCGACATATTTCCATGTTCCTCGGTCATCTGCCATTGCCGGATGGAGAAGGAATGCACATCGATCTCAGCGCTGAGCTTGTTTGTGGTGTCGTTGTGCCAGGTTTGGTATTGGTGCTCGATTGCTTTCTCCCATTCGTCCTGTGCCATTTCAGACGTCCTCTCCAAGATCTTTGGGCTTGACCATGTATCGAAATGATAATCGCTCAAACTCTTTGCAGCCTCTAGTAACTTGCTGAGTTGGACATGGGCAGTCAGAGATAACCACATTTTCCTCCGAAGCTTAGTGGTAGCTGGTGACGCAAACCTAGCAAGGTTCAGGACGTCCATGGGCGCATAAACACCAGTTTCTGATGATTTTGAGTCGCTTGATGAGTCGTCATGCTCTATCTCCGACACCTCTTCCTCAACCGCGTTGTGCCCGCTTTTCTGCACTAGCACATTCAAGAAAGCATCCAACACGCCTTCTTCTTCTGTCTCAAAACTGAACAACGCTTCTCGCGCCTGAAGCCCCGGTTTCTGTTTCTTGTTCAATTTGGGCATTCTGGGCTCTCGTTGGTGGGCCATTATGAAGTTTCGGTGGCAGATGGTGTTGGGTAAGTATACAAGTTTGTGGCGTTGTAGTGTCAGATAATATTCAAGTTCGGTTTTAAGTACAGCAATGTTGCTACCTCTCGGGATAAAACAAAGAGAAGTGGATAACGTCGGATTGTGAGTCACATAGATGCAAAAAGACGGAGTTCGCAGGGCGAGCATGACTGGAAACTAGAAGCGACCACGGTACGCATCAGTGAGGACCCTTGGATGACTAGCCACTCACAGTCATCGCAATACAAGCGACTAAATCAATGTGTCTCGCCGTTCAACGAGCGTTTTGATGCGACAAGAGTCAAGGTAGCCGCGCGGCGCGAGTGGCTTTTCCAATGATAAGATAAAGCTAAACACTTTTCACGTCATCGCATCTTTCCATCACACATCCCAACCTACTGCCCCAACAATATCTTCATAGTCTCCACCCCCACCCCCAGCACCTCCTGACTCCTACTACCCTGCAACACCCCCTTCAACTCTTCCACCACACCCTTCTTCTTACAAACCTCTACCCCCTCTTTGACATCCACCACACTCCTCAGACAAACAATCCCCCGATACCTAATCCCCTCATCGTCATCCTTGCACAAGCCCACAAGCCACTCCACACTCTTATCCTGCTTGAGGAACTCGACAACCGCAAGATCCACACTCAGCAACATCGCTAGCGCACCTCCAGCCGCTGATCGCGTCGCAGCGTCGTCGACATCCGTCATAGCAAGCAGGAGATGAAGTCTATGTTTCGCCCGCGGCGATCCATCCGCAAAGTTGGAGATGCAAACAGGTGAAGCCATGAGGTTACACAGCAATTCCGTAGCCGCACGCCGAATCATCGTGTTGGAACTAAGCAACAAATCATCCACAACCGTGTCGAAAGACTGGCGGATGATATGGTCCTGCGTATTCCTATCCAGAGAAGCGAGGTTAGTAAGTGCGAGGAGCGCTTCAAAGGCGTGCAGTTGCCAGGTCGTAGACTCTGTTCGTGTGAGTTGGCTGAGGAGGGGGCGGATGGCTGATGCGCTGGGGAGTGCGGCGTTGAAAGCGTGAGACGGGTTTATGCTGATGAGGAGCCGGGAGAGGGCTTGGGCTGTTGTGGGGAGGGCGGCGGGAGGGAAGGGCGTGGTGCCGGTTGTTGAGAGGTCGTTGGTCGAGGATATGTGGTCGTGGATCTGGATGAGCAGTTTCACTGCGCCTTGTTGTGCCATTGTGCCGCGCGATTTGTTGTCTTGGGAGAGGGAGAGTAGGATTAGACTGCTTTGGGTGAGGATGGATGGGGAGCCCTTTTTGCAGACTTGCACCAGCAGAGGGACAACGCCGGCGTCTAGTACGCGCTTGCAGCGTATGGCGACGTCTTCGTCGTTGAGGAGAACGTGAGGGATCGATGGCTTTTGCACGTTGGCGTAGGCTTTGAGTTGTGCCATGCGCTTTTCCTCTTCGGATTGTAGGGGCAGGTATTGTGTGATGTTGACGAAGATGGTCAGGCCACCGAACACAATGTTCTTGGGTGAGGAGGGGTCGCTCATGGTCTCGATGAGGCGTTTGAGAAACTTTGGTGACTTGGAGAGATCTTCTCGTACTTTGGGTTGGAGCGAGGCGTAGGCGAGTCCTTCGACTGAGTCTTGCTTTGAGGATGTGTCGCCTCCTATGACCATTGACTTGAAGCTGGCGATTAGGTCGCTTTGGTCTACCTTCTCTGCCCTCACGATTCTTGGTGCATCCTCTGACGGTTGCTCTTCGCCTAGCTTGACGAGGACAAGCGCGGCCAAGTTGGCACGCTTCTTGTTCTGGCTTTCTGCGACAACATCCTCCAGCCACTCTCTGCAGTTCTTGCTGATCGCCTCTCGACAGTTCTTATCGACACATGCAGCGCTGATCAACTCCAGAGTAGCTTGCTCCAGGTTGTGCGACTTCTTGCTTTGAACCCTTGACACCAACGTGCTGACAAAGCCGTCTGTGAGAAAGAGCGCAGCAGCAGCCGTGACAGCGACCGGAAAGATAGCTGCAGCCGCCGAAAACGCAATAACCAGATCATTCGCTTCCCCCTTTTTCGTCCGGTGCGTAACAAACTTCGAGATCAATTCGCTAGCCGTCTCCGGCGCAAGCTCAAACAACTTGATACTCGCAAGTGTAGCCTGACTACGCAGACTAGCAGGAAGTCGAATATCCAGCGACGTGAGGATGACATCGAAACTATCCGCATCAATAATCCCTTTGAGATGCTCCGCGTAATGAGCCAACAGCTGCGCAATCCCCTTCATCGCACGCTCAGGATGCTCAAGCGCCTCCTCCATCATCATCGCCAAACTGAGCATGAAGATATCTCTATGCCCCGTCTTGAAAGATTCGTCGTCGGGCCAAACCGCCCGGTTGAGACAGACTTTGAGTAAGCCGTCGATGGAGTCGTCGCCCCGCTCGAACATCTCGTAGTAGATGCGTGTCGGCTGCTCGCGGATGGCTTTGGCGACCCACATCTGGGCTCCGGGATTCTGGAGTAGTTCGCCTGAGACCTGGTCGAGGATGTCGTCTTCGCCTTTGAAGTCGAAGAGGATGGACATTGCTTGTTCTGCTTCGTCCTGCTTCAGGCCATGGGTCCGGATCGCTTTGAGTGCCTTTTCGCCATCGTGTTCGTCTTTGCTGATGACCCAGGCTCGACAGTGGCCCAGTAGTTCGCTCTTTCCCTCCTCTTCTTTCAGTGCGACCCATGCCTCTTTGATCCGCGGATGCTCGGGTGCGATCGTACTAGCTTCACGCAGGTACCGAGCTGCAACGGTTAAATCGCCCGACTTTGTGCTTTCATTCGCCTTCTCGGCAAGTTGCACCGCTCGGTCTTCTTCAGAAGAGGATGCCATTGTTGATTGTGTGATGAACGAAGGTCACTCTAACGTGATGACCTTTGGAGTTCATGGATGCCCACGTGTCACGGGGCCTCGATCGATTTGATGGACAACGCACGGGCCTCAGCGGAGAAGTTTAGTGGAGCGCGGGGAGGGCTGATCATCCCTAACAAGTTCAGCCCTGGAGCTTTCAGCAGTTATGTCGAAGTGTCTTCTTCTTGTATTCGCGCTCGTATCGTGATGATTGATTGCAATGATGACTGTAAGTGGTATTTCGGGTATGTCAAGGTGTCGTCACTGCATCTAAATGCGTCATATTGAGGTCAGAACGGGCTGGAATAGACGCAGTAGAAGTAGTAGGATCAAAATGCGTCCAGAAGGTAGTATGCAAAGACTATTCTTGATTACCAAATGCACCTCATCCCGTCATTAAAAGATCTAATCCTCGCTTTCCCGCAGTGAAGCGTGTGCGAGGTCCAAAAATATATACCTACGCCTAGAAGATGCTCAAGTATAAATGCTTCGCGAACGAGAAACGATGAGACCGACCACTCTGAAATGATCATACAAAACGCCATGCCAAAACGCTATGCAAAACGTGCGCCAATTCCCAGACCTCCCTCCAATGTCCCCCGCAACTCCATTGCTCATGTGTTTCTAATACACCACCACCCTACTTCCCCTCATCAACCGCCGTATCCGCCCTCTTCCTCTGAATAACGCCCAAAAACAGCAACCTCTCCCAAACATCATCCTTAACCAGCACCCTCGTCTTATCAAACGGCAGCCCATCCAACTCCCTCAGACTCCTACAAAGATTCGCCAGCATCATCTCGGTAACCCGACGCCTAATCCGGGTCTCATAGTCCAATCGCTGCAAGTGCTGGACATCGGCTTCGACCTCGCCCTCGGGGAGCACGAAGCGGTTGGTGAGTTGCTCGTCGGAGGGTTTCTGCCGGAGAGACAGGATGCGGTTTTCGCAGGTGGGGGCGTAGAAGCGGAGGGTGAGGGGGTTGTCGCGCCAGTCGAGGGTGGAGAGGGTGGGGAGCTTGCCGAGGACCATGGCGTTGGCGCGCAGGCGCTCGAGTTTGTTGCCGGCGAGGAGGAGGGTGCTGAGGCGCTTGATGTTGAGGAGGGGCCGGAGGTCGGTGAGTGAGTTGAAGTTGAGGTTTATAGAGCGGATGTTGGGGGTTAGCTGGCCGAAGTTGTCGGGGAGCTCTTTTAGGCCCATGGAGGCGAGTTCTAGACGTTGCAGACTTAGTAGGTGGGAAGAGATCTGTAGGCCGTAGGTTGGGTTGAGGGAGAGATAGAGGTTGCGGACTTCGGTGTTGCGGACTAGGTTGCTTGCGCACATTTCCATGTCGGATTCCGAGTTTAGGATTTGTTCGCGCGCGGAGAAGGTGCGGAGGTGGCGGAGGTGTTCTAGTCCGGATACTTGTGTCAGGCAGTTGCCGTCGACGTAGAGAGATTCAAGCTTGGGGAAGTATTGGTCGACGTCGAGGAGTGTTGTTCCGTTTCGGCACATACGGATCGAGCGCAGGAATCTGCATGGCTTCAGAGGCCCATCAAGAAGGGGCAACTCCTCGATTTCGTTGTCATCTTCTGAGAGTCAGTATTGGTTGAATGAGTATAGCAAGAAAAGACATACCAAGGTTGAGATGCTGAAGCTGGGGTAGGCAATGCAAATTCCGCACTTCAACCAAACGATTCTTGCGCATATCGAGGTCTGTGAGGGATTTTCTATCGCACGAGTTAGCAGGGAACAAGGCATGTTTAAGTGTTGTACTTACAGATCCGTTCGGGTGAAGTCAACCATGTCGATCTCGTTACCACGAACACTCAACTCCATCAGACCATCGAGGTGTAGGATGCCTTGGAGGGATTTGATCTTGTTGTTGTCGGCCTTGAGTATGCGGAGATGCACAAGCTCAGCGAGACCGTCAAGCCTATCGATATCGTTGCCGGAAATGTCAAGGTGCTGAAGGTTGACGAGGGTCGTCCAGGAAGTAAGTCCGTTCAGGCAGTTGTTCTGTACTTGTAGTCGCCGCATGGTGTAGGGGATACCCTCAACCTGATTGATCTTGTTGTCCGAAACATCAAGTTCTTCGAGAGAGTAGCAGAGCTCATCAAGGCGGTGTAAGC